AACGAAAGTTCGATGATGTGCGCCACAAGCTAAGTGTCTCTTTTTTTTGGCCACCCCTGTATATAAAAACCCCACCAAAAACTTACAGTTAAGGATGCCTCCTACAGCTCCGTCATCGCTTAAGGTCAGGTTTTCCGACACCAATTATGATTTTTATAAACCCTTGGAGCTTTTTTCTGTAATTTGAAAAGGTATTCGAATGATTGGGTTTCACGAATATGTTCGACTTTCTTTACAGGCTCCGACGAAGGCGATTTTGCCGAAACGTCAGTCAATAAATCCTGTATCAATCTCGGAGGCTGAACAAACAACAAAGCTTGCATATTGCCAACTATGCCGAGATTAATGTAGAGCCGATCATAGTCTATTCTTTCACTATTCCTTTTGAATACTTTTGTCGAGCATGATTTCCTCCATTCTGATTGGCTCTTACGAACTGTTTTCCGTTACCGATCTGCATGTCATCGATGAATGGCCGTCTTTTTGGCAGAAAAGACACCCCTTATTGGTCGCTGATTGATATACTTATCCTTTGGAGTACTAACATTAACGTTGATTTTATGGCCGAGTCTGTTTTCGACGTAAGCCTTGGCGGTAACCCTTTCATTAGTGACCCATGAGATTCTCGATTGTTTGATTGCATTGAGTCTGGCATGATATGAGCACATACTTGACAATCTCCTGTGGGAATTTGATTAGGAATGGTCCCTGACTACATTGGGTCGCAAGTCAGCGGAGACCATCTGGTTAGTTGGAACCTGTACTGTTGAGCTATCAGCAAAATTGGTTGCTTTCCTTCATACCCACAACTCTCTGCATGATTTGCGATCTGTTGGTTAAGTAGTCGCAATAGGTTTCTTTTAGGGCTTTTGATTATCCAGCCATAGTTTTGTGGTAAGGGTTGGATTCCCTGGATGGCTGGTTTTGCTCTCCCTCTAAGACTTTCTTTCAGGAGAACGATCTTTTCAATAACATTCAGCTCTTCGCTTTTATGCATTAGCATCTGAAGGATCGCCCGGTATTCGGGAATTTCTACCGGCTTACCAA